CAGAGACTTGGGTTTGCTTTGCCGATATGAGAAAGTAAGCTACTATCCCGGGCTATGTGGCAATTTAGACAGTGGTAGCAATCCATTGCACTTTACATCAAAGTGGAAAAATTTTCTCTTTGATCCTTCGTGTAGACCCAAGATGACAACAATGAAGCTTAAAACTATTGTAGAAAACATCGTCCTTGAACTTTTTTAACAAATGAAAGAAGGGGTAATGGTCAAGGATCATAAAGTCCTGAGTTTGAGTTCCATTTCTGCTACTAGGCAGTGACCTTAGCAAGATCCAGTAAATTAGGTATAATAATGATTCAACACAAATTTGCCATTTTGGAAGGAGAAACTGTGTTAATTAATTTGAAAGAGCTTTTATAAATTTTAAATTATAATATTTGAGAGAAATGTGGTATTAACAAAAACATAACTTGTCACTGACTATAAAACAGAATAAATTCTATTTTCCCTGTTGACATTGTCCAACATTTCTAAACTGTATCTGCAGAGAAAGATAGATGGCTTTGTCGTGCACAAAACCGTGATGTTCAGGGTTGCCTTAGCCATTGATCCAAGCAGATGGAGGAGAATTAATAGAGTCTCAAAGCAGGGGTCATAACTGTGGATGTCACCAGAAATTCTATGCTGCTGCTTAAAGCCGGAGACAAAGAAGAGATGAACAGTCTTCTTCAGATGAATATAAGCTATAAACAGCATCCCCTAAGAAGGTAGTTGACTATGGAGTGGTAATAGTGTGTCGAAATGGAAGCTCTACCCCAAACCCAACTTAAGTTTGATTACAATAAAAAAGTCTCTATTTTCATAATTTAATGTCACATAGATATTGGTGACTCTGCAGCAGCTTCTCTGTTATTTCTTCCTTTGCAACTCTCATCTCTGATTATAAAATTTACCCTTGGAAAGTCTATTAGCTTCTTAAAATCATTTCATAAACAAAGTTACTGTAGTTTTAAAAATCAATTCCTAAACTCACTTCCCAAAAGAAAATAATTTCATAAAAACAAAATGGTGCGTAGGATCCTGGATTTGATCCCAGCACCTACAGAAAAAAGAAAAACTGGAAATCTGGTCACATAATGAAGACCAGAAATCAGAGAGAAGGATTATTAAAGATTTTTATTTTCTTCCTCAAGAAACTAATATTTTATACATTTGATTACCTGCTGGAAAAAATATACACTGATTCATGACATCAAGTAACAGGAGTCTACATGGAAAAATGATGAAATAGAAAGCTGATGGTCAATCAGCAGGATCTATAGGTGCACATTATAACAGGTTGTAGACATGCATCAGCCCCATGAACCAAAGCAGCCAAATATTATCTGACCCACTGTTCTCACACCTGCAAGCCTACATATAATATGAAGTCACATTAGTATGAATTCCAAATGACAGCAGCTCTTAGCATCATCAAATAAATGTGAGGACCTCAGCTGACCCTCTGAGATCTTCCTGTTTTTTCCTAGGAACCTCTAGAGTGGCATCACAGTGACTAACCCACCTTCGGTCCCCTTTCTGCTCCCCTGGGTGGAAATACCAATCTCTGTGAAAGGGCAGCCAGGCCTAGGTCTCCCCGAGTATCCCCAGTTCCCAAGAGGCCACAGCAATACTGGGATAGGGGCAAAGGTGAAGCTCATGTCCCACTCCTGATTTCAGGGCTCCTCTTTGTCACTTAGGCCCTAAAAATTAGGGCAAGAGTTACTCAAATTCAGCCGTGAGGCCGAGTGTGGTAGTGCACCCCTGTAATCCTAGCACTTGGGAGGCAGAGGCAAGAGGGTTGCTGCAAGTTCTAGGCCAGCCTGGGCTATATAGCAAGACCCTGTCTCAAAAACAAAAAAAACCCTCAGACGTGAAGTGTCCCCTCAGTTTCCAGATCCACTCTCTCTCCTTCTCAAGTTAAAACAATAACAACAAACCCTCTGGAAAATCAAATACATCAGTCAGGATAGGCCAACATATATGGCAGTAATAAAACCAACAGTGGAGAAGCACAGCAAAAATCTATTTTTTGTGTCTCCACTGGACTCACCCAAAAAGCCAGACTGACAGCGACTCCATGTCAGTACTCTCTCATGGCTCTTGTAGTCAGGCCTGTAAAGATTTGACACGAATCACTTCTCAACACCTGTCCTTGCCAAAGAAAGCCCCACAGGCAGGCACAGCCTCAAAGGGTCAGAAAGTCAAATTCTGCCACGTAGTCTGGAGGAGTAGAACGGGAACATCTGTGAACAGTCCTGATGACAACCAAACAAAGCCACTCAAGCTGATGTTCACCTGTTAGGTGCACACACAGCCAGATGCAACCCAGAACCCTAGCTATGCTCATGAGATTGTAGAGTCACTTGCTTTCGAAATTCAAACTCGTTTGCAACTGCCAAAGAACACAGATATCTTAGAATTTAATCCAGAAAAAATATAGATTTTTTTAACTTCTCTACTGTGTTCAGAGAAGCAGCCGCACCTACATTTAGGAGTTGTCACAATGGTGAGGTCTATCCCAGAATTCCGGCACAGTCTTTAATTATATTGCCTCATAGCCCCACTATAGCTCCATAACAAAATGATCTCAGTTTGCAGTAGAGAATCAAGGGGATTAGTAATCAGGTCATGTTTGCCACCACTTCATATATATAGTTCTTTTGTTTGCTTTTTCTGCACGTTTGTTGTCCTTCAATGAGCTCTATTGTTTTTCTTCTTTTCTTCCTCCCTTGATCTCCTTGTTTTGTTTCGTTGTTGTTGCATATTTGTTTGTTATCTAGAGAATAAATTTCCCAGTCAGTGGAAAGCCCCTCTCCCCGAGTGGCTCTTTTTTTCTAGGTCTCAGGCACCACTTGTGGGTTCTACCTGCCTTCATACTCATTGTGCAGACAGAGGTCTCCTTCCCCCAGCCTGGAGCCTAGGAGCTCTTCCACCGGACACCCACCAGCTCCCCTCATCAGCAGACCTCGTGCTGACAGAGGTCTTTCACCCTTCAGCCTGTCGTGGAGACAACAGAGTGTCTTGGGAATCCTACTCTGCCCTATCCTTCAGGTAAGGTTGCGGTCTGGATGACAGGAGGGGTGAATGCAACAAGACTTCCACAAAGTGGAAGGCATTACACAATACCAATGTCTATCTGTGTTCCTGCCTCCCCTGATGGCCCTGGGCTCCTCTCCTCTGAATGCTCACCACTCCTTTTCCCAGTCCTCCCTCTTAGCCCCTTGGGATGGTTGGCCCTGACTGTCACCTTGATTGGCTTGAGAAGCACTTCTGGCTGTGTCTGGGTGGGTCATGGGGCGAGATCCTGAGAACCATATGTGGTTCCTGACCCCTTTCTCTCAGGCTCTTCTGCTGTTTCTCATGTGCCATGAGTGGAGCAGCTTTCTTCCACAACACCCTTCCACCATGTTTCCTGCCTTGGAGCCAGCTGACTGTGGACTGAAACTTAGCCAAAATAAAACTTTTTCTCCTTTAGGAGAAAGGTATTTTGTCCCAGTGATGAGAAAGCTAACAGACCCTCTTGCTGAAATTGCCCCTTGACTTGCAGCTCCCCAGATTGTGAGCACCATCAGGCCAAGGGCTATATCCAGTTGCACTTGGTGCACCCAGGAGACCCTCAATGAATGAACCAAAGACCCTCTACATCTCCAAGTTCTCAACCCAAGAATGAAGTTCAACTATATACATGAATCCTTTTAAGAATCTCAATAATAAGGCAACCATGTTCCTATAAAATTTGTAAATGAAGCTTTCCTGAGAAATGTTTATAACACTTTAAATTTATAACTTGCAATATTCATTGTTTCTGGGGATTCCATTTATGGCCTGTAAAAGAGGAGAAGAGACAGAGATGAGAGATTGACTATATAGTCTAATTCAGGACATCTCCAGGTCCCTAACTTTCAGGTTCCTTTCTTAACCAAAGTGACATATCCAACTAGAACCCAGCTTTCAAGTGCAAATGTCCCTATCTGAGGAGTTAGGCAATTGGCAGCTGAAACTTCAGATACCCCAGTGATCCAGACTTGCATTTCTTATGGAAGTCCCAAATTAGCCTGCTGCTAAGTATGGACATGTGCAAAACTCCTTTATATAACTAAGCATTAACGCCTACTTTATCTCCTACCTCATCATCTGTCACAGTCAAAAAATGGCAGCACAAATTCAAACTCCATAGGACTAAAAAAAATTGCATAGGAATTCCCCTTAAAAGCATGATCTTAGGGCCGACCAGGGATTTAGCTCAGTGGCACTGTGCCTGCCTTGTAAGCACAAGGTCCTGAGTTAGATCCCTGGAGGTGTCGGGGGAGAGCATGATCTTAAGGAAATTCCTTGTGCCATGTCTTCTAGATTAGATACAGTAGGTTGGAGGAGGAGAGAAATAACTGCATGTTTGTGGACCCAAAAACCTAAACAAAAACCATTTGAATGAGTACTGTTCTGTATCCCATAGCTGTTCAAATCCACAGGAATAGGAACTTTCAGATTCAAATTCTGGAAGCTGGAGATTATGTTAGTATTAGTCACATGTAGGAAGAAGCAATATATTCTCTGCCAAAATACATATATAATTACCCCTCCCTACTCTAATTTTCTGCCCATGTAAGAATCTTTTATATGTTTTATATGGTACATGTTTATTCTAGAGAAATGTGAAACCATTTTGAACTTTAGACATTTTTTTAAAGTTTAAGAATTCATGCTTATTCTAAACAGTCACCAGTTTCTGCAAATGTGGGCAATGATCTTTAAATCAGAAGATTTTTAAAATCAGTTTAGGATACTTTTAAGGAAGTTTGGTCTTATACACAGCAAAAAATAATTAAGGCAATGTTTCTAATTGATTCAGTCAATATTTCTTACACATATTTAATGTGTTACCATTCTGGGTGTTGAAGATACTGCAATAAACAAGGCAGACAAAACCCCCTGCCTATATGGAGCTTACATTTTCCCAAGAAGAGAAGCTAACAAATACATATGTGAGATGTCGACAAGTTCTGTAGTTTATTGCTTTAACGGCTCCAATCCTTTGCTCTGCCCTTAGCCATTCCCCGTCAGGTTTTCTGCAGTGAGCAGAGCTCTGGACCCAGGCATGTGACTTTCTTTGGCCAACTGAATGTGGCAGAAGTAACAGAGTGACGGCTCCTGGCTAAATATCCTGAAGAAGTAAGAAGCTCTACGATTCCAGCGCCTCTCTTGCTGTCCTGCTAGTGCCACGGAAACACACAGGCTGGTTCAGGGAGAAGAGTAAGAAAGGCAGCAGAGTGCACAGCTGCTTCAGTTGAGCTTCCTCCACCAAGACCTGTCTAACCAGAGCTTCGGGAGACTCTTCCTTTCATAAATACACCAGCCAACATCAGCAGAGCCACCCAGTGTGCCCAGTCTAGCCCGGCTGACCTCCACCCAGATGCATGAGCTGTGATGAATGATTGTTTGGGGTTATTACACCTCAATAGCTAACTGATAGATCTGAAAGAATAGCCAAAACGAAGCAGTATGTGCCAGTGGTGATGCAAGGCTTATTTCAAATGTATTCATTGCATATAGTTGCTTTTTAAAATGTAACGTATTATTAGTGATCCTAAACGCAATCTCTTTCCATGACCAGAGAGGTTCTTGCCCCTGTTACCTGACATCATAATCATGTATTTGGTATTCTCCTCCGAGGACTACATGGAACCAAACAAATGGGGGCGGCGGGGGGGAGCCTTACTTGTTCTGGGATGGGAAGCAGAGCAGAAACTAATGTCCACCTCCAGGTCCAATCCAGTCAGGCTGTCCCTCATGTTTGAAATTCAATGTGTGAACTCTGATTCACTTCCTAATGTGGCTTCCTGTCACTCACTACAGCTGAACTAAAACTTCCCCAGAGGCTCTCTGTCCTAAATTATCATAAACTCCTCAGGGCTCAAAGGTGAGCCAACAGAACCCTTCCAACATTTTCCAAAGGTTCTTTTAAATAATTATAAAAGCAGCCAGTGCTCTTGTTCTGTGGAGAACAAAGCCTTTCCAAATTACCCACTTTACCTTCTGGTGAGGTGAACACAGCCTCCATCAGCGTCATTCTGTCCTCCAGCCTGTAAATGAACACCAAGAGGGTTCCGTCTTGTCTCAAAATTATTCCTCAGATGGAAACAGGGCCTAGTACAGAGTTCTGGAAAGTTCTAGCTCTTGAATTGGCTCCAACACATAAAGGCTAAGGGAAAAAAATTCTTCTCAATCCTTGTCTTCTAGGAAATTACCTGTTGGTGGCTCCAGTGTACCAGTGGAAAGGTTTAAGAGCGGCTTGGTTAAGGTATTTTCCAGAGCTTCTACATCTACTCTTCAAGTTTCCCTTTCCTTCATCTTTTTTGTATTTGGACAACTGAGATCATATTCTAGAGTTCTGTGATCTTAGGAAAATTGTTTAACCCCTTGAGACTCAAATTCAATGGCAAAATAAGAGAATCAAAAACATTTCTCTCTGTCCTAATAGTCTATAACGCAAGTAAACATACTTAAGCTACTGATTCCAAACTAAACAAACCGTAACTTTCAGCCTGTTACAGGCTGTAGCCCTGGGCACAAACCAGCTTAATACAAGGAATAAGATTAGATCTTTCATCGATAATGTTTTTAAAGTCCTACTATTCCCTTAAGCCTTTTTATATTCAGCCTCACATCTTTTGCAAATAACGACAAGGTTGTAAATAGTAAGGATTTCAAAGCCCTCCCCAAAACAATTTGGCTTTTTAGATTTGAGTAAAATGGGAAGTTATAATAAGGTCTGTAAGAGAGCATCAGAAGTCCTGGCAAGACTTTTCTATTTTGGGATCTTATTCTAGATAGGCTGGTAAATTTTCTCTGTGAAGGCTTAATATTTCCAAGCTGGACCTAGTAGCTAACGGTTACCAATCAACTGCTATTCACACTCACACATCTGCACACATAAGCCACTTTAACCATCACGGTGTGGGGTCCTGACATAATGACAGAGCCACCAGCTGTCGGGGCACTGCACTGAATTGGGGACACAGACCCCATTTTCCTATGTAAATTGGCCTGGACGCTCCTTCGGCCCCCAACAAAAGGGGACAGTCCTGTTAAATGGGGCCATCTGGCCCTCCCCGGGCACCTCTGGGATGGGGCGATCCGGAGTGATCTTCGGGGGGCCGGGAAGGTAGCGCGGTAGAGCGCAGCTGTCACCTCGGCCCCAGGGGTCCTGCCCACCGAGAGGCTGAGGGCAAGCGGTTTCTTGGTGGTCTTAAGCCTCGGGCCTGGGGCGCCTGAAGGTCTGAGGGCGCGTCCCCGGGGCTGAGGGCGTGCTTTGTTCCTAGTACCCAATGGGGCGAGGCGCCCGAGGGTTGGGCAAAGACTCCGGTCGGTCCCGGGGGCCCCGGGGCACCTCCAGCCAGCCGGAGAGAAGCCTCGAGCGCCTCCATAGCAACCGCGTGGGAGCTGCCAGAGCAGGGCAGAGGCTCAGAGGAGGCTGGAAGGAGGGAGGAAGGAGCAGAGGGAGAAAGGGTTCGGGGCGGGGAGAGGGAAGCGGGGTGCCGGAGAGGAGGGAAGAGGGGCGCACGGATTAACTGGGAGGAGGGAAGGGGGAGCAGCAGGGAGGGGCGGGCTGGGAGGAGGGTCCGGGGCGGGGGCGGGGGCGGGGGCGGGCGCAGCCCGAGCTCCGTTCAGATCGCTGCCCCGGATGCCCGCGGAGGGAGGAGGTGCCGGCCGGGCTGGAGGGAGGTGGCCCGTCCCATCACCGCCCACTCGGCCCCGAGGAGTGCACAGAGGCTCCCAAGGTCCCTACCCCTCCGCCAAAGCGGCCCTCGGGGGACCCTGGCAGCTGCACTGCCTTCCCAGCCCCGAGCGGCCGGGACCCAGAGCAGCCCGGGGTCCTCCCGAGACGTGAGAACGCCGGTCCCCGCAGGCCGGAGGGAATTCTCCGCTAAGGCTCGCGGCCCGGACCGGCCCCACCCAGAGCACTTTCCCGTTACAGGACTGTTGGGAAGGTGCTGCGGGGATTTGTTTTGAGGTCCCACCACCACCACCTCACTCCCCAAATCTGGGGCCTCGTGGAGAGAACGTAGTACGAATGCTAAACTTGGAATTGGGAACGTTTTCTGATACCCTGCTGAATGGCTTAGAGGTGAAGTCACGAACAGATCAGATCGTCATTCTTAAATATTATTTGCTAAGCGCCAGCTTGCACAAGATATTTCACAAAGGTCATGAAACGGGACATAATCTTTGCTCGCGATAATCTTTGCTCTCGAAGTTCGCCACAGAGACGTACGTGAGAACACTAGCTCTTAGGACATGGCTTCTTCGTGGGGGGGGGGGGATTCGTTTCAGATTTATCACTACTGCAAAAGAAAACCTATAGATAAATGTTGCGTGTCTTATTTTAAACCCATTATACAAAGTAAACGGAAGAAAAATAAACGTTTGAACATTCTCAGCTAACATGGCCTATGGGAAAATGGAAATAAACCTAATTGAAAAAACAGGGCTAACCATAAATAGGATTAGCTTTCTAGCAGAGAACATGTTTTTCTTTTAAAAAAAAGGCAGAAAATTCACCAATCAAATGTAAGGCTGTACATGTTTCATAAAGCAAAGGTCAAAGAATCCTCACAAGCTTTAAGGAACACGGTTCCTGTGAAAATGGCCAGGGCTTTTGTTTTGTTTTTTGTTCTGAAAATCCAAATCTGTAACCCATTTTCAGGTATTACCCAAAGGAACATTTTTTTGTTCCTTCTGCCCACACACTCCCAAATTAGGTAACTAGCCAAAAGTAACAGAGAAACTTGTAGATTTGTAATTGTGTGATAGCCCATCTGCTTTCAGCACTATCTTTGACCAAAAAGAAAAGATGAAAAATATAAGCAAATTTCCAGCTATATTTATAAAATTCTAAATGTTATTTTGACAGAAAATATTTCACTTGTAGCCTTAGCTTCCCAATGAATTGATAAGTGATGTTTTATAAGGGTCCACAGTAGTCCAGGCACGAGTGTGAGCAATTCGTAGACTATTAATGCTCTGAAATTTAGGAGACACATACTATTACAGTACTGTCTCACTTTGTAGAGGAGGAAACTGGAAACCGAGGTTTAGAGAGGACATAAAACTGCCCAGGTTGGTACAGCAGCAGTGGGCAAGAGATAGGATGAAGACCCCAATCCTGCCACCCTGATGAGTTTGTTCCTGTCTATACATTCCACAGGAGTGGGCTTTGCCTACATCCCACCTAGAGTAACACCGAATATAACCATAGGCAAAAAAAAAAAAATGCTTACAGATTAATTGAATCTCTCAATTTTGTCCAGTTTTTAGGCTGGATTAGAGGGACATGGAAATTTAAGAATAATTATTTTCTTATTTTTAAGTGTTCCTCAAGACAGTCCGAAACTGAGAAATAGCAATATTATAAAAGGATGAAGGATAATCATTACATTAACTTTGATATAGCAAAATGGCAGAGATAAGATTGCACTTGTTTTAAGAAGTCAAAGCAATAAAAATGTCTAATTAAATAAAGACATGGGATCCTGCCTTGCCCTTGCACTATTTGTAGATAAATCTTCATGCAATATTGTAAACTAAAGTAGAAAGCAGCACACTTCCAGATCAACTAAACACAAATTGTTAATGTAGCATCTAAAGCCTGTTTACTTACAATCAAGGCAACAATTAAAAATAGATATTCTGAATTCAATTGTAAATCATCTGTTAAAAGCTTGGTTGTGTCCTGCTGCTTGTACTTTGATTTGTTTTTATTTTCTATTAAAGATGTGGCCACAACTTTAAATTCTTAGATACCTGCAAATTAGATGAAATAGACTTAAGTATCATCTGATGAGCATCTGTATATTCAAATCCAGTGGGGTGTTATGGTTGTGTCTTTATGTCCCCCCAAAGCCTCAGGCAGTTGTAGGTGGGGCTTTTTCAGAGGTGGCTGAATCTGGAGTGTGTGATTGATTCATGGTGGGGCGAGGCCCAAGGGCACTAGGATTAAGGGTGTGAGTGCTACCCACCCTAATCCCTGTAGTCTGAATAAGATAAGAGGGGCAGAGACACTGTTAAAGTCTCTTGTTGCTTTTGCTGCCTTGTGGGTGCCATGGTGCTGTTGTTCTCCTCTGAGACACCCCTCTGCCATGTGCCACTCTGCCTTGGAGCCAGCCAACTGTGGACTGAAATCTCTACAAACTATAAATTAAATAAACCTTTTCCTCTTCAACTTTGGGTGTCGGGTATTTTGTTTCAGCAGTGAGAGAAGTAACTCAGACATGGGATTAAGAGTCATCTGCTGAATTTGGCCTCTGGAAATAGATAATGAGAATATACTCTTGCGTAAAATCTTTTGCCTCTGGATCTTCAGTTCTTTGCCTTGGCTCAGTTAGAGGATGAATTGAAATAAAGTAAATGAGGAAAGGGGATGTGGAAGAAACAAAGCAGGAACATTTCGGGTGGAGGTGAGCAAAGGGTTGATTTCCCCTTGAACGAACACTGCTGCAGTTAACAGCACGCTGGGGCCTGGATGGGGAGACCCAGTGTGGTTGGCACTGCCCACGTTGTAGGCTAGGAACGGACAGAAAGCTGCTTTTCAAGCCTTGGAGTAGGGGTAAGGTTTGAATTTCAGCTGACTGCACTGAACAGTGATGAGACCCCAGCAAAGTAAGCCAATACAAGAGGTCAGCCCTCCCCTACCCCATCCCCAGCCAACCCGGGAAGTTTTGGAGTAAGGACAACTCTACTGTCTTCCTGCCTCTGGAAAACTGAAGGGAAGTTTTTGTTAAAAGGATGTTTGTTCAAGGACCTAGTCATTTTCCCTGATGGCCCAGTGTGCCAGGCCAAAGGGAGGGAGCCTGGAATATGAGAATCAGACAGATGCCTGCTGGCCATTCCTCCTGCTATGACTGATTCCAGTTTCAAATCTTTGTGTTTCTCCTAATTTTCTAAAAAGGTTTTCCCCTTAGGAAAACATGCCCTCATTAACTTTAGTCCAAAGGTGAATTTTTTTCCCTTTTACAGAATTTATAGGGAAAAATACCCTGTGGCTATTTTTAACACATGTGAGACAGATTTTTTTTTTCTTTGCTTGAATATTCTGATATTCCCATCATGGGTAACTGACATTTCCCAAAACTAAAAGTGAAATTTCCCAGTAGGATCTCCAGTCTGAATAAGATTTATTTGAAAATAAGAATGAAGGGATGGAGGAGGGAAAGAGAGAAACTAAGAATTTTTCACAGGACTCTAGTTTTTGTCTCAACAAAAGATCCTTTTAATTGAATTCATAGGCAGCATTTTGCAGTAATATTATGCATGCCTTGTTTTTTTTATATACTCAGAGACTTATTTTTAGGTCTGAAATTTAAAGGGACACAATTGAATGATTTTTCCCCCTTACTGAAGCAGTCAAACAAGAAGAAGACAATTTAATCAATATTGAGTTTGACTCATACAACTCAAAGTAACTAGATGAAAGTCTAGAATTAAAACACTAAACATCCATTGAACAGAATGCCTAATTAGTATTGATCACCAAATAATTCTAAGCACATGTGCTAAAGCAAGGAAGCAATATGTTTGCCTAGAAAAATAAAAGCAGCAATATTATATCTGGACCTTATTAGCATGAAGTAAAGAGAGAAATGTCACATTAGAAAACCGCTCTATTAGGTAGGACTTGCTATTTGCAGAAGCTGTTAATAATGTCTGCCACAGAAGACAGGATTAGAGGGAGGGCTGTGTTAGCAGAGTTCTGAACAGGGACTAGAGTGACAGACTGAAGCATCCACCTGGCCTGAGGAAATGCCCCCACACATGCCCCTCCATGGATCACACAGGGCACAGGAGAAAATTCCACCTGGGCTCTCCCTCTTTGTGGCAGTGATCAGTGGGTGGGAGTGTCTCCTAGACAACCAAGGAAAACAACACACGGACACACACATTAAGGCCATTTGACCCTCCCATTGCTGCTTTGTGTTACTTGTGTCTTTAGAAGACTCACCAGTGTCTCTGGCTTCCTTTGTGGGCTAAAGTTTTAGATATCTTTTTTTTTTTTTTTTTTTTTTGTGCCCAAAGTCAAGAGCAAACTAGAAGGTGTTTCTCAGGCATCCAGACAAGCTTTAAAATATCCACGGGACTGACTTGGGTTCTCAGTTAGGAACTCACAAGTTGGGCCCAATTCATCTGAAAGGATGATGTGGCTGAGGAGTAGAACAGGAGAGAAAAGTCTTAGCTAGCCAGTCAGTGGAAAATGGAAATAAAAATGAAGGGCAGTGTTGATATTGTTACTGTTGCCATCTAATTGGAGAAAAGCCTTTTTGTGAAATTTACTAGTTTGGAAATCACTGGCTCATTTTCTGTTGGGGAAAGCCAGGGATAGAGACTGTGGACATGGGTTGAGGAGGGAAGGCCTCCCAGAGGAAGTGACTCAAATTGCATGTTAATGTCTTAAGGAACAACTGGCCAGAGCACTGCGGAGGTGGAGCTGTTGGGGGGGGGGGGGTTACAGACCCGGGAAAGCGGACACATTCAATTTTGCTCAGATTCAC